GAATTAATTCAGCTTTAACTGGAGAGACAGATTAGGCAGAAATCCCATATCTCTTCCATTTCATTACTCTGCGAGTAGTGGAGGATGGTTTGGACGGGAGGATGGAGGGATGGGCAGTGGTCACAGCGGAGGAGGGAGGGAGGGAGGAGGAATGGAGGGGTATTTAGGGTGAAGGACATGGGAAGGGTTGCCTCTCCTCTGCTTATTGTTCTGAGTCATCAGTCGGGCCAAAAGGCCTCTGATTCAATTAAACATGAACTCCCAAAATAAACTCTTGGATTTGCTCTCCTTTTGTCTCTCTTGCTTTCTGTCTCTCTCTTGCTGTCACACACGCTTTCTCTCTCTCCCTTTGCTGTTTTGTAAGAAACTGTTACTTATATCGTTTTATAAACTGGGTGGTTCCAGCCCTGAATGCTGATTGGCTGACAGCCATGGTATATCAGACAGTATACCACAGGTATGACAAAACATTAATTTTTACTGCTCTAATTACATTGCTGACCAGTTTATAATAGCAATAAGGCACCTCGGGGGTTTGTGATTTATGGCCAATATGCATATAAAGATAGTTGATAGAATGTTAATCTTACAGTTTTACTACACACAAATCTTTGCATTTGGCACAATTTTCATGCCGAAAATCTCTTGTTTTCACAATGAACACACTGCCATACAAATATGCACACTGACTCATCACATGGGCAAACACCCGTCACACAGTTTTACAATTAGCAATCAGAGATTTAGCATAAAAGGGCAACAGGTGAGCTCTTCTGTTTTGGAGCAATGGATGCCAACATTGGAAACAGAGGCAGAGCCAGAGGAGTGAGAGTAAGAGGAGAAGGACGGGGAGGACAAGGACGAGGACGAGGACGAGGAAGGCCAAGGACCGTAATCTCTGATGAGATCCGAGCCACTTTGGTTGATCATGTGGTCAACCATGGTCTAACAATGAGGGAGGCTGGGCAAAGAGTACAGCCAAATTTGAGCAGGTACACTGTAGCATCCATCATCCGGACATTCCGAAATGAGAATAGGTAAGAAATCTACTCTCACTAGAAAATTGCAGTACTGCATATCAATACAGTACTCAATGAGTACATTAGTACAGCATTGCCTGTGGACTGTTTTGTAGGACTGTAAAAATAACGTATGTTTCAAGTATTTGGGAAATGTATTTCTACTTTGTATTTACAGCATTTTACTATTTGTTTGGCAGAACTGAAAGATTACCAACACAAGGTGGTCGGGAACGTGTTCTGTCTCCTGAACAGGAAACTGAAATCACGAACATGGTCCTAGAAAATAACGCCATAACATTACAGCAAATACAAAGAAAAATAATAGAAAACAATGAGATATTTCAAAATATTGATAGGGTAAGCTTATCAACACTGGACAGTGTCTTGCGCAGAAATAATCTCAGGATGAAGCAGGCCTACTGGGTGCCATAGGAACGCAATTCAGAAAGAGTCAAAGAATTGCGATATAACTATTTGCAAGTGAGTCCTATACAATCCCACAATTGATGCATACTCTCAACACTGTATAAATTATACATATTTCAGTATTGTAATCATAATGATTGTGCTTCACAATAGTGACCACTCCATGTCTATTTCTGATATTGTCATGTGTGTTTCAGAGAGTCCTTGAGCTAGAGGTGGCTGCAGTGGAGCACCAGTTCATCTTCATTGATGAGGTTGGTTTCAACCTCACAAAAAGACGAAAGAGGGGAAGGAATATCATCGGCCAGCGTGCCATTGTTCAAGTCCCTGGCCAGCGCGGAGGGAACATCACAATGTGTGCAGCGATTACCCACCACGGCGTCATCCATCACCATGCTACCCTTGGCCCCTACAACACCGCCCATCTGATCACATTCTTGGACACCCTACACAACACACTCATTCCACCAGATCAGGTAGATGGCCCAGAGCAGCTCATGTACGTTGTCATTTGGGACAACGTACGTTTCCACAGGGCTGCTCTGGTTCGTAACTGGTTCACTGCCCACCCACGCTTTTTAGTTGTTTATCTCCCTCCATATTCTCCATTCCTCAATCCTATTGAGGAATTTTTTTCTGCCTGGAGATGGAAAGTGTATGACCGAAATCCACAAACGCGTATACCTCTTCTCCAAGCTATGGAAGACGCATGTGGAGATATAGCAGCTGATGCTTTTCATGGCTGGAATCGCCATGCTAGGTGATATTTCCCCCGCTGCTTGGCCAGGGAAAACATTGCTTGTGATGTGGATGAGGTGCTGTGGCCAGACCGCAACAGAAGAGAGGATGCAGCATAGTTTTTTTTTTACTGTAACTGTATACATTAAATTCTTCTGTTTTGTATGTAGACCACTGTATGTGCAACTTTGTGTTGGTTGGGAATGGGATGTACACTGTGTACATTGTTTTTGTGGGAAAAACGAAATATATTTGTTACTGTGTATTTGTGTGTTCTGAGTATAAAAACAATATTCTCAAATATTTTACAACACACTTATGTATGTACTGTCTGTAGTAATGGCAACACTGAACCAAAAAAAGGCCTAAGTCATTATGATGAATGGAGAAGTGTTTTCCATTCATCATAGTGTTTTACATTGAGCACATCAATGTTCAACTGGTTCTTATAAATGTCTATTCATATGATGGTTTGTGTGTGTCATTTGAAAACAAAATAGCATTTTGATAAGAAATAACATTGTTTTGAATGTAAAGTTTCATTTTGCTGGAGAATTGATGGGTTTTGCCCATTGTGTGTGTGTGTTTTTGGATTTGTGTGTAGAGTTCTGAGAATGAGGCATGCTTTCAGAAAATGTGTGTAAACAATGGAGAAAAACTGTAAGACCTGCTTCTGCTCAGAGCGGAGTTGCATTTCCCTGTTTTTAGAAATAAACCTGCAGTTACCATTGACTATTTTTCTCTCCATCCTCTTCCTCTCTCTCTTTTCCCTACCACTCACTCCCTCTCAACCCTCCCTCGCTCTTTCTCCTTCTGCACATCCGACACACACAAGTCAAATGCAACTGTCTCCTGTCTCCAGTGTGTATGTGCTTAGATCCGTCTGCGAGTGTGTGGAGGACCAGATGACGCCTGACAGTGTCTCTGACAAACAGAGGTGTGGATCAGTGTCAGGGTGTCTCAGAGGAAGGCTCCCAATTCACCAGTGTGGCGTGAAGGGACAATATGCTAAACGGATCTCATTCACTCTCCATGCATCAGGCTACTTAGAGCCAGGGCTTTCAGCTTGGAATAATAACCTCTCTCTTTAGCTGGTGAGTGATCATGAATCATCAAAAGCGATACGAAGAAAGGATAGTAAAACAACATGAGAGGAAGCAAGGGTAGAGTAAGAGAAATGACAAAGAGGGAGAATAGAGAGAGTGGAAGAGAACTAGAGAAGGAGAGAAAAAGAAAATGAAAGAGGGGAGTAAAAGCTGTGAAATATGTATGAGTAATCCTGTATGGAACACATTATGCAGGTCAGAGGGCACATTGCCTGGAGACAGCCTGGTGAGAGAGGCTCACCATGAACAATCAGACAACGACCCCCTCCATGTGATGTAGCTAACAGCCATGCACTAGGTAACTAACAGGCCAGACACATGGCTGTGTCTATGCTCCATACGGGGTCACAGAGTAGCCTAGCATAAGTGGGTCACTGGCCAGGGTTAACACAAGTTAATGTGTTGATCATTGCATATCTCATGGCTAGACTGTGAAAACATGTGTTGGTTAAAGTGTTAAACATTTCCTATCCTGCCTTCTAGAACCTGTTAATTCTTGTCTTTTGGGACTCATTTTATTATTTTGATCTAGTGCCTAGTCCTTAACCAAACCCTAATATCTACCCTTAAACAATCTGAAAGAACTGGATGGTTATGTAATCTGACTATTATAGGCTGAGTTTACACAGCCAGCTCGATTGTAATCTTTTTGCCCAAATATTGGCAAAAGATCACATCGGATTGGTCAAAAGACCAATGATTGGGCAAAAGATCAGAATTGGTCAGTCTGTGTAAAACGCATCCTTCTGACTTCCATCTATACCTAGGAGTGAACCTTATGAGGATATAAGGAGAGGAAGCCTCTTTGGAACGAGGCTCTGCTGTAGATCCAGGCTCTGCTGTAGCCGGCCGCAACCGGGAGACCAATGGGGCGGCGCACAATTGGCCCAGCATCGTCCAGGGTAGGGGAGGGAATGGCCGGCAGGGAGGTAGCTCAGTTGGTAGAGCATGGCGTTTGCAACGCCAGGGTTGTGGGTTCGATTCCCATGGGGTATGAAAATCAAAAAGAATAATGTATGCACTAACTGTAAGTCGCTCTGGATAAGAGCGTCTGCTAAATGACGTAAATGTAAATGTAATGGAACATTGAGACCCATTCCTCCCTCTAAAATAAATCACCATGCCTTAGAAAGAACTGTGATGCCACCTCATGGCAGTTTGCAGTCATTACAGTTTAAAGTCCAAATAAAGAAAGCCAGCCACCATCAATAAGAAACACAACGGAAAGACTAACGGCTGAAAGCAGCAGGTGGCCGCGGTGTGCTAGCGATCACCTGCCAGGTGTTAACGAACACATGCAGAAGCATCAGGAAATTGATGGGCCATGTTCTGTGGAGAGTTGATAGGACACCCACCCTCTGCTTTGAAGTACACTGCAATCCTATTCTCTGGTGCGTTTCCTGTCTCCATGAAACAGACAGCAGACAGATCAGTGTGTATCATGTATTTTATTAATTAACCACCACCTAAAATCTAACACATCCAGAACAGAAATCAATTGAGCACAATCAAACCTAACTGCACCACAGCTCATAATAATAATAATTTAAAAAAAATGTACAAAATGTGATTTAAAAAAAGTTAATATCAAGCCTTTTATTTGTTATACAGATATTCATATGTTTATACAGTATATAACACGTGCCACTGCAGTCAGACAAACTGATCATATTTAATAAAAGAAACTTCAGAGGAATACAGTGAAGCGCGTTGTCGTGGTAACAAAGAGCAACAGGAATGATGAGGTAAACAGCCAGGCAGACAAACTAAAGAAAAACTAACAGAAACTAGTTCAGGCTACAGAGAGGCAGCGGAGTGGCATGGACCTTTAAGTGTCAACTACATGGAGAGGGCTGTGTGGACACCCAAGTCTAAACACACACATACCTCACACACATGATCAGAGACACTCAAATACAGTCTCATTCACACTCTCAACGCTGGTAGATACCAACACCAGGAATCATACGGAAAGACACTTGCATGTGCGCACACACACCAGCTGAAGGACATTCAGAGCTAGAGAGATGCAAGGGGTGTGTGCCGGACCACTGGGAATGGAGTTTGAGTATAAAGAGAGGAAAGAAGGGCAAGAGCCTAAAGGAGAGATGGAGGGCAGTGCTACAACTGTAGGCGTGGTTGTCTCCCCCTACTGGTCACTCTGAGTCTCGCTGGACCTCTGAGGCATCAGCCCTACAGATGGGACACGTCCTGTTAGCCTGGAGAGGGACAACCAGAGAGGGAGGGAGGGTGACAATGTCAGTTAACCTGCAGGGACAGGAAACAACTAGATTTTCTGGGTTTGAGGGAACTTCAGTTGGATCGAGAACTAAGTATGAAGACGTTTCACAGTATCTAGGAAAGTATGTTTGCCAACTAGTTGATCCTGAATTGTGAAATACTGGAGCGAGAGAAACTCACCCTGAGCCACTTGTCCACACACTTTCCATGGAACTCATGACTGCAGGGTAGAACTCTCAGCAGCTGACGAGACTCAAAGTCACTCATACACACCACACACCTGCAATACAACAGTAAAACGTTATTACAACAGAAACGCCAACACAACACCAACTGTATACTCCGATTGGTAAGTCCGGAGGATAATATCCTCATACTCAGTTCTGATAGGGGAAGTACTCACAGCGTCTGTTCTGATTGGTGGTTGTTGGGGTTGAACCTATAGGAAGGCAGCTGCTCGATGTCTCCCTTGGTCAGTCCTCTGAGTTTGGCCTCTCCCAGACGCTCGGCCAGGTTGAGAAGGGCCTCATAGTTCTCCACCTCTCCGTCATCTACGTCTAGCTCCAGGCTGATGGCAGGGCCTGTAGGCTGGACTGGCAGCATGGAGCTGACAGAGGGAGAGAAACACACTTACCTACAGACACTGCGTGCCTACACAGCTCATTAGAACTGAGGAGAGTGGCAGATACATACTGTACATGAAAGCTCAACAGTATTCGCACAAATATGCTGTGCCACAAGAGTAGGCTACTTCCAAACAATATGGCAGCGTCTCTAGATTCTCTAAACTACAACACCCATGATGCCGAGCTAGAAGCGGATGGTGGACTTACAGGAAGTAAGGCAGGAAACTGGGGTGGTAAGGCGAGGGTGGCAGTGGCTGCTGGGAGCGGTAGCGTCGTCCTGGGATACGTCGTGGCATGAAGCTGGGATACGACTGAGAGAAGAGATGTAAAATCATTAACATTGCTGGTAATGCTAATTTTTTTATTAAATGGCTTAAAAGATAAAGATGCAACAATCACCCTGATATGTGATAAAGGTGGTTTGAGGAGAATGGAGACACTCACCACTCCAAAGAACTCCTGTGGCAGAGGATCATGGGAAAGGAAGTGGAGCTGTGTGGAGTGGGGTGGCAGGCCGGGGTGGGCTGCGGGGGGGTAGTGGAGACCAGCCCCTAAGGACAGGTGCTCCCCCAACAGTTCCACGTCATTCTCTATCCTCTGTAATGGCTAGGAGGAAGAGAGAGAGAGAGAGAGAGAGAGAGGGGTGGGAACTTTTTGATTACATGAGAGCAAGCAGAGCTACTCAAATAGTTAAATTACTAACTACAAGTTCAATTACTAACTAAAATACTGCTTTAAGTCGCTAATGAGGTTCAAATTGCTAATGCCACTCACCGATCTGGCCTGCTGTGTGGGGTAGGGACCAAACTGTCCGGGCTGGGGGAGGTGAGGAGGATGGTGGGAGAGGTGAGGGGGGTGGTGGGACAGGTGGGGAGGGGGCAGAAGAAAGGTGTCACTGGACAGCAGGGAGGGGAACGGGTAGGGCATGGGCAGGTGCTGCACAGAGCATGTCTGCAGAACCTGAGACAGAGAGGGAGACATTTAAAATACATTATTCTATTACAATATAGATGAGAGGTAAATGATTCATTATGTACACATTAACATACACACTGATAGAAAACAGGGAGGGAATTAGACCCATATGAAGTAGGCATACAGTATGAACTGTATCAGACAGATTAGTTGAACATACCGATGGAGGGACACTGCAGACAGGGTAGTGCTGCCCACTGAAGACCACCGAGCATGCTGGGAGCTGCTGGGGGGCAGAGCGGGGGGACAGGCCGGGGGGGGCGCCAGGGGGAGAGACCGGATACGACACCTGAGAAGAACCCTGGGAGCAGAAGTCAAAGGTCAGAGTTCAAACAACCACGTTATCTGAATGCCCAAATAGAAGGATAAAGATGCCTCTAATCAAATTAAATAATGTTTTATTGACAACTATACAAACAAACAAAATGGCTTCTTGTTTCCCCACTGACCTGGTCATGGAGGTCCAGCACCACACTGCTCTGCTGCTGAGGGGGGTGGGGATGAGGATGGGAGTGCTGGGTGTGGGCGGCAGGGTGCATCAGCCTGGGGGACAGGTTAGGAGGGTGGAGGAGGGGGCGTGGGGATAGGTTGGGGGAGTGGTAGGGGCGTTCCTCTGGCCCCCGGGGAGGTTGCTGGTTGTAGGGGTAACTCTGAGGGGGGACGAGGTGGCGGTAGTTCTCATCCTGAGGCCCTGCTGAGAGGCCGTGGTGGGGGTGAGGGTGAGAATGATGATGGTGAGGGTTGTGGTGATGGTGGTGGTAGTGGTGGTGATGGTGGTGGGGGTGGGAGTGGTGATGAGGGTGGGAGGTGAGACGGTCACGGCGGCCACGCTGGCGTCTCATTGGAGGACTGGGGAGAGAGGGCACTTGACATTACTAAATCATAATTTCTACCAAACATCCTCATCATATCACAACAGATAATGCCCCAAGGAAGAATGACTATATACTGATGCGGACCCATTGTAACATTGACACACACATACCTGCGGCGGGTGCGAACGGGTGTGTGGCATCGCTCTGGCAGGTAGTGGGGGTGTGGCCTGCGACTGGGTGGGGGTGTGGCCCAGGTTGTGGGGGTGTGGGGTAGCTCCCAGGGACGGATGGGAGAGGATGGGGTGGGGGGAGGGGCAGAGCTTAGATCTAAAATACACTGCTGGGAAAGACGCTGTCGCTTAGGGCTAGGACTGTCCTCCATCTACAGATGAGACACAGAGAAACAGAAAGAGAGAGAGGGAGTAGAAAGACAGCATGGTGTTAAGTAAGGCTATAGCATTCCTACTGCTGTGCTGGTACAATAGGGAGAGGTAAATATACTCACCTTGTCCCGCTCATCACTGCAGACGTTATCAGGGTGGAAGTGCAGGACCCCTCCTACAGGCCACAGAGAGAACAGGAGGGTCAAACCAGGCTATAGGCTACACATTTACATTTGAGTCATTTAGCTTACAAAACCTCAAAGCTCAGACTTGGGCCTGTCTAACAGGTACACACCAGCAGTCATGCTCCTTTTAACCTTCTCGGCTATTACCATCTGTAGAGAAAGTAGCGGCCCAAATTGTGTCTAAACTCTGAGGGAACAAATGCGCACGTATTATAGCTGGATAAAGTCTGCTCAGTCTAGGGCAGGGTTTCCCAAACTCGGTCCTCGGAACCCCAAGGGGTGCACGTTTAGTTTTTTGCCCTAGCACTACATAGCTGATTCAAATCTACACGCTTTGATCATTTGAATCAGCTGTGTAGTGCTAGCGAAAAGAGAAAAAAATGTGCACCCCTTGGGGGTCCCGAGGATGAATATGGGAAACGCTGGTGTAGGGCTTTGAATTGCCTGGTTCAGTCAGACAGTGTTCCCTCTGTCTGCCACTGACAAGAGGGAGAACCATTCTCTAAGATTTAACATAATAATCTCGCTGTTCTCTGATCTCAAATAAAAAAACGACCCCCTCTGCTGCCTCAATCTTACACAGACACACAATCCCTTCAAATCTCCAACAGGCAGAGATGCCCTTGAACTGTGCGGATGGAGTTTGCTTTAAAACAGTCCTCTAAAAACCAAAAACATCTCCCTCCCCATCCTCCTCTCCCCCCCCCCCAACTAGTCCCCTCACTCCCTCCCTCAGTCGCTTCAGAAACAACAGATCTGAGAGCGATCCCATCGCTGTGAAGTCGGGGGAGAGTGACAGCTCAAAGACGCCCCGCCAGTGGAGCCAGCAGAACAGAACACAGCAGCCACGCGACTGGCGCTCAGCTCCGACAGGGACAGGGAGGGACAGAGATCCAGACATTGGGCTGGGTGAGGATTGCCAGGTTATAATGCGTAGTCCTAGTATCTGGTCCTCAGTACAGAAAAGGCACCTACTTGAGCCAGCAGCTGCATAATGCCCCCTGGTTCCAGGATTGAGCCACTAGTCTAAGCTGCTCTTCCACAAGCCCAAAACATGCAGTTTGTCTGTTTGAGCTCATAGAGGGAGAGAAATGGTGGCAAAATGCACAGACACATTTTCAACACCTCCAAATCCAGTCCTAACACATTCCCCTGAAAGTGATGTTCAGAGGCGTGACATGCCGAGAGCTCTGCTCACAGCACACACACTGTAAATCACATACACAGGGTATTCAAGTAGAGGCATCTGCAGTTGCTTAGAGAAGGGAGTGTGTGTGTGTGCCGCACAAGCGTGTTCAAAAGTGTGCGTCTGTGCAAGTGTTATTTTAGGTCTGGATGGCGAACGTGCTATTACAAAAGCTCTCCATTAAAAGCTTGCATTCATTAATAGGCCTTTCTGTCTCTAGGTGATCCACTCTGTTATAATGGTAGCCCGTTTCTTCAGAGGTTAGTGGAACCCACAAAAGACTACTGAGTAAACACAGACCGACTCACTGTTGAAAGCATGACTGACAGTAACCATCACTGTGTCAACATGCCATTATGGCTCATATGGGAAACTCTTCTGTGTGTGTTCTATCCCACCATATGGGGCAGTATTCTCATAGCTCAATGATGTCTACTGCCTCAGTGTTTGGCAATATCCAGATGTTCATACCATCATACCATTTCTGTACCATACCGGTGTATTCGGTATTTGCAACAGGGATCTTGATCCAGCAGGGGATTGAATGTCTCTGCTGTAACCAAGAAGCGTGATCTTGACATCTAACTACTTAGCTAGCAAACCAAATGCATAGCTGGAGCCCTGATCTGGACATAACTTGACACATCTTAGATTTCTTATAGTTATAAAATATAAACAAAAATATAAAACGCAACAATTTCAAAGATTTTACTGAGTTACAGTTCATAAGGAAATCAGTCAATTGAAATAAATGAATTAGGCCTTAACCTATGGATTTCACATGACTGGGCAGGGGTGCAGCCATGGGTGGGCCTGGGAGGGCATAGGCCCACCCACTTGGCAGCCAGGCCCACCCACTGGGGGTATAACATGGGACCAACACTTTACATGTTATGTTTACATTTTTGTTCAGTGTAGTTATAAGCAGTGTAGTTATAAGCAGTGCCCGCTTAATTATACTGTCAGTATTACGAAATACCCTGGTATGCAGTATATCGCCCAAGCCTACTGCTGCATATGTATATTACAACATAAATTGTGTAGCACAAAGAATGAGTGTCTTTTCCTGAAAACAATTTAGGCTATCAAGTCAAAACATGTATCCTGCATACCTCCATATGCCAATTTACCATGTCAACAACTGTCCTGTCCAGCTCCCTCACTCCCCATTTGTTCAAAGGTCCTTTAAATGCTCTGAGAAGGCAACATGAGCAATCTTTCAATCATTGAAATGTGTTCATGTTCTTTGGAAATGTGGGCAATTTAAAGATCACGCAGACTGGACGGGCCTTTCACATAAGCAGTGAGGAAGCTACTAACTGAGTCTCTGCCCTTTCCTCTCATGGCCACCTGACTACACTGGATGGATGATCAAATCTGGTTGTTGGCATCTTATCTTTTTAGACAAACAGCTAGAACACTGCACTGACGAGGACTGTTATACAGCTATGAGGAAGACTGCACTGTTTACATGTCAAGCCTGGCACCTTCTAAAATCACAATGGTACACCAATCTATGCAGGGGGTGTGATGCATCTAGATTCGTATGGAAAGGGAGCCTTGAAGCTTACCGGTGCTGGGATGTCTGTGTGCTCCGTGCGAAGGGTGGCGTTGCGCCCCACCGGACAGATAGTTCCCCTGGGTGTGCTGGTTTTCCGAATAGCTGCTGCGCGCCCCGTGCGGAACCCAGCCGGGGTTGTTCTGTTGAGGGTAATTCACCCCGATCCCTCCACTGGCATTCATCATGTTCCCATTGTTGATTGCGTTATTGCCGTTGCCACCACCGTTCATGCCATAGTGAAAGAAACCTGAACGCGACCGCGACCGAGTCCTCGGGGGATCCATGGCTGAAGGGGGCGGTGGTAGGTGGGCGTAATGGAGGTATATCTGGGAGAGATGGTTTGCCGTAGCCGAAGCCTCCCTCGTCTAGCCGCCACTCCTTGCTATCTTCGTAATCGGCCTGTTCTAGAGAGTATCTTCCTTCGCATGAACAGCTTGGTTTGGGGCGTAGGTAAAACGGAAAGCGGCGGTGTCGTTCGTGCACTATCGGCAGCAATGGGTATTTCCTGTCAGCTCTCCCCTCTGCCTATGTTGCGCGTCACTGCCAGTCCACACTCCAAAAACGGCTTTATTTGTATCCCTAGAGAGGTAGATTTGGTATGTTAGTTTGTTCTGTCATAGCAATACACAGTATGCAAACAAAACAAAACATAAAAAACTATCCATATTAGGTACATTATAACAAAAAGCTTTAGTGAATGTATCTGGGCTGTACCCCTTCGGGTTTTCTATTGTCTCATCAGCTATGAAGCTTGGTTGGCGACTAACGTTACTGGCTGTCTACTTTCAGCACGCAAGCTCGCCGGAGTTCCACATTCAGTTAACTGGTTAGACTATTTGCTAGTTGGACAACGTTAACACACAGCTGACTTTGTAATATTAACTTTAACTGTCGCTAGCTAGCCAACAAACTTAGCTTGCTACTATTTAGCATATTATAGCTAGCTGGATTGCGGGCTAGCTAACTTACGTAAGCTAACAAAACCACGGTTCAGAAATACTACGTTTTCTAGGTAAAACATTCCTGTAATATGTATAAATTCCCACATTATACACTTGGCAACCCACCGCTAATTCACAACTACTAACCTTTTAACTAAACCCGTCGTTGTTAACGAGTCTATTGCTAACAGGAAAGCTAGCTAGTAGGAGGAAAACAATGTCGCTGCCGACATTTCCAAGCCTTAGTAGAGAGCTAGCTAGCTTGAATGTCTGCTCATTGGCATGCATGCTGCTAACCTGTTTAGACGATGTTGGTTGATCCGAGATAGGCGCGGTCGATTGCCTTGCCTGATCTGCAAATAATGCTGGTCTTCGTCCGATTTAAATCCCCACCACGTAATGTACATTCACGGCTGAAGATGGTGGTGTTTTCTCTGTAGATGTCAGTGGGGAGCGTAAGTGGAGATCAATCATTGGGAGTTTCAGATCTCTGGTCAGACCGATCTAATCGAAGACAGAAATCTCTGACGTTACATTGTGCAAAAATCCTCAAAGACATACCACAACTAGAATACATTTATTAGTGCATATGTTCGGTTTAAAACGAGTGGTGTCTTTTTTCAGGCCATAGTATTGATTATCCCGATAACAATAGATCACTGCATTGATTCATTTAGTCTGGTAAACGTCGGGGAGGAATCAACCTAATTAATAATTCAGTAGTCTTGTTTCAGTACCAAGGAATTTGGTTTGGTATCAGGGGCGGATTGGCCATCTGACAATTCTGGCAAATGCCAGATAGGCTGGACCATTAAAAAAAAAATGTTTTAGCAGATGCTCTTATCCAGCGCGACTTACAGTTTTAGTGAGTGCATACATTTTTCATACTTTTGGGTGGGCTGGTCGAAATTGACACATAAAAAAAATCTATAGATATATTTTTTAATTAAAAGTTGACATGGCCGGCGGCCCATAGGCCTGTTAAGTATAAATAAAAATAAATCTCTGTTATACTAATCTATAATGAGCCTTTGGATGATCAGTGGGCAACGGCCGTCCCCTCCACCAAGATGGGCCTGCCCGATATTCTGATAGGCTGAGCTGAAGTCATGCAAACTCACCTTCAAAGGCAAACGTGGCATCAGCAAAGAGACCTGCTCCGACTGTCATCAGTTACGCAGCCAAGATCATGGATCTTAAAAAATTGAAAGGGTGCCTATAAAACATAGAAAGAGCATATTCTACATTGTCACCTCACTCAAAAAATACAAAAATTGGGCAGCTAAATCCATTATTTGGTCAAACAGTAAAGTGCATTATCCTCATGATTCCTGTAATGAAAGTGTGTGCCCCTGTTTTGCTGGGGCCTGCTGCTATAATGAGCGAGCCACTCTCCTCTCCCCCTGCGCTCAAAGAGAAAAATGTGTTCTGATCGTATAACATTTAAAAATGCAATTTTGGAAAAAAACACAGCTTTGGAAGCATCGTCCACTTGTCCCTGTTGAAGAGGATGGCCTTAGCTTCATGTAGGTATTACCCTGAACACAACATGTAAAGTGTTGGTCCCATGTTTCATGAGCTGAAATAAAAATCCCAGCCTACAACTGCAATGTTTTTGGAACATTACATTTACTGTTGGATGATTACATGGATACTAGCAGTGGATAGTACTGTATATCTAGAGTTAGCGATCTAGATAATGTGTTTTGAGTTCCCACTTCCTCTGGTGTTGAACCCAAAATTAATTAGCCTATGATATTAGTTAGTGCACATAAAGAATTCGGAAAGTATTCAGACCCCTTGACTTTTTCCACATTTTGTTATGTTACAGCCTTATTCTAGAATCGATTAAATTATATTTTTTCCTCATCAATTTACACACAATACGCCATAATGACAAAGTGAAACATTTTTATTTTAGCAAATTTAATACAAATCAAAAACCGAAATACCTTATTTACGTAAGTATTCAGACTGTTTGCTATGAGACTCGAAATTGAGCTCAGGTGCATCCTGTTTCCAATGATCATCCTTGAGATGTTTCCACAACTTGATTGGTCCACCTGTGGTAAATTCAATTGATTGGACATGATTTGGAAAGGCACACACCTGTCTATATGAGGTCCCACAGTTGACAGTGCATGTCACAACAAAAACCAAGCCATGAGGTCAAAGGAATTGTCCGTCGAGCTCCGAGACAGGATTGTGTCGAGGTACAGATCTGGGGAAGGGTATCAAGAAATGTCTGCAGCATTGAAGGTCCCCAAGAACACCGTGGCCTCCATCATTCTTAAATGAAATAAGTTTGGAACCACCAACTCTTCCTAGAGATGGCCGCCCGGCCAAACTGAGCAATCGGGGGAGAAGGGCCTTGGTCAGGGAGGTGACCAAGAACCTGATGGTTACTCTGACAGAGCTCCAGAGTTCCTCTGGAGATAGGAAAACCTTCTAGAAGGACAACCATCTCTGCAGCTCTCCACCAATCAGGCCTTTATGGTAGAGTGGCCAGACGGAAGCCACTTCTCAGTAAAAGGCACAACAGCCTGCTTGGAGTTCGCCAAAAGGCACCTAAAGGATTCTCAGACCATGAGAAACAAGATTCTCTTGTCTCATGAAACCAAGATTGAACTCTTTGGCCTGAATGCCAAGCGTCACGTCTGGAGGAAACCTGGCACCAAGATAGACAGCACAACAGGGAGGCAAACCAAATGTCTTGAGCAGAGGCACAGTTATAGTGGTGAGTTGTGTTTTCACATGTTGTATATGTTTTAAACATGAGCTGGTTAAAAAAGAGGACTAGATCTCACCGGTCACTGGTACAGAAATGGTTGAGAATTGCTGTTCTGTACTGCCAATGTTATGTTTCAGCACTACTGCCCGTGTCTAAGTAGGGTCAGGGTGTAGGGTGTATGTGTGGGGATGGGGTGTGTATGGTTGGTGGCCAGCCGGGTGAGTGGTGGGGGGATGGTGTGGATAAAATGCAAGGGCTGAACTCTTGTCCCAGTCCACCCCTGTTTGGTATAAAGGAAATAAGACCTAGCCTAATGCTTTATTTGACAATCATTGAAGTATGATGAATAAGTATTTTTCTAACTTTTACTCTTCTCCAACAGTGTCCAGCAATGGCACATCCCTGGCATTTCTACCACAAAAATAACCATTCCTCACCTTCCCTCCGTTCTCTTACACACATTGGTAAAATGCAGTGGCGTGTTGCGGCAGATACATTTTTCATCCGAATATGATATTACCTATAAGGCCTGGGGAGGGGAGGTGTGTCAGAATTAAATAGAAATAGATTCTCATTTCACAGTAAATAAAAACAATTTATTGTTGCTGTATTACCAGGATAAATAAAACAGTATTTTTTCCCCATAAAATTGGACTAAAATCCTCAAGACACTAATCAGCCATTGAAACACAAAGCAATACAAACAACGTCTCTTTTTTGGAGAGAGGAGCGCTCTTCCTCCACCTCTCTGCTTCTCTACTCTTCCTACTCCTCTCCTCACTCCTGTGCTCCTTCCTCTCCTCACTGCATCTCGTCTTCTGAGGGGGAGTATGGGTTCTCTGGGGGTAAACCTCGTCTGAGCCCCATTTGGTCATCCCAACCTCCCTCCTGGCTTGGGCCTCTCTCCTCAGCTTCTTCACCTCCTGTCTTTCCGGCCATGTCTTCCTCCTGCCCTCCCTCCGTCCCGCCAGGCTTCTCCTCCTCCCTGGAGCTGGGGAGGGCCGCTTCTCACCACTGCCCCCAGGTGTCACGGAGTCCTCTGGTGCTCTAAAAGAGGCATAAAGCCCTCCTGTAGCTCAAGTTCTACAACATATACAATGCATGCTGTAGTTTGTCACCTCTGGCCTTTCTGTGTATCTTGGTGTTCAGTTTGAGGATGCCCTGCTTGTCGTATTGACAGACGTAGGGGATAGAGGGGAATGTCCCACTGACCATCCTCCTCTGAGTACACTCCTGAGAGAAATAGAGAGGGGGGGGCAATACAGACAGAGGGAAAGGGAGATATCCACATTATCTAGAATGAGTGTGTACTCTGTCTAAAATAACATTTTATTGTCCAAGAGATAGAGGAAAGAAAGAGAGACACCAGATGTAGTTGTCTCACATGGCCATGGTGTCTTCTTCTAGAGCAGTTGTAGCAGTGGGCAGTCTGTGGTTGTGGTCCCTGTGTGGCCTGAGGGGAACCTCCTCCTGAGTCTGCTACAAGAGGACAAAGCAGTCAGGGGACATGTTCCCATATTTTAATAATTCACCCTCCCTTTCTCCCCTCCTTTCCATGTAGTCTGGGGCCTTAGTGTCAAAAAGGTACGTGGCGGATACCAGTGTGAAATTTGGTAGAGATGCTCTTTGGGATGTATTCATTGATATTAGAAGGGGTGCCCAAAACCTGGGCCATGGCACCCCTATTTTAAAAAACATAATCCAATATGGACGCCAATACGGAATTTGATTTTGGAAAGGTGATATTATTGTTGAATTTTTGTTGCCATATTACATTTATTTAAAGACTATTTGTGAGTGGACCAGCAACAATATGCCATTATACATGAATCACCTTAAATGTCTTTAAAAAGGTTAAAAGCACCATGTTATCAAGTAAAAAAATTGCCAACACACCCTAGGAGTTATATTATGTAGCTAATTTATTGAGAACATGGGTAATCTACTCTGAATATGACCTTAAACTGGAGATGGATGTTCTAACATAGGCTTTACATTACCCTACAATGTATGTAATATCACTCATGTACTAATGGTCACAGTGGAACTGCCTCCATGTATCCGGACAGGCCTGGGAAGGACACAGAACACAATAAGAACATGCTGCAAGCACTGAACTTAACACAAAGACGTACACATAAACACATACATGCTCAAGGCTACCTGCAAACACACACACAAAGGCTTGTGGTAAACCCTCACGTTTGATAGGTGGCCAGTCAGTCAACAGTGGTGGCAGTGCTGGTTTCAGAAAGGGGGTTCAGGGCAGGGCTGGTGCCCGTGTGAGGGGAGCCCACAGCTGAGGCAGTGCTGGCCTGGACAGCCTCTGGATATGGCCCTGGAGTCCACACAACACACAGATGGGCCACCTCTGTTTACAGAGAAACACAACTGGGTTCATGAGCAATGTTGGAGCGTGTGTGCGTAGGTTGACTCATAACCCGCAGTCCACGTGGTTATATTCGCGGGACGGGCGGGTTTATGGTCATGAAATATTGTGTGGATGAAGGGTGGGTGGGTGGCAGGCGGGTTGAATAAAGAGAAAACAATGCATTAAACATCCATAAATGTATCATTCTTGTGCAATTCATATCTATAGGCTACATTTAGGTTTTTCTTTCATCATTTTTATCTGGTGTTAGTGCGTAAGCCTAAGCTTTAGGGCCTAACTGTACGCGCGCCAAATATACACCAATTGCCAAATGCTTTTGGGAACTTGGGCAGAAAATGTTAATGTCGATCCACTGAGGCAAAAAGGACAATGTCAGAGTTTTCAATAAGAGAAAAGTTGCGAAATGGAGAGTTGAAAATAAAGAGAAGGGAGGGCCAGAACCAGGGACATGTCCCCCCCCCACATTCCTAAATTGCATTTTTGTCCCCCCCAGTTTTATCATTGGAATGTGATCCAAAACGAGGCAACGGTGTGCTTTAGGACCATGCGGACGCCTCAGAGCGGTTGGGTAGGCTGTTTGGAGTGTTTAGTTGGATTTAAAAAAAAAAATATATATATATATATATATATATAATAAATAATTATGTCCCCCCACTTCTAAAACCAAAGTTGCGACCCTGGCCAGAACAGTAACCTAATGTTTAGGAAATATGTTATGTGTGATGACTGTGAGGCGCTATACTGTGATGCGCTATAAATTTGACAGTCACAAAACAGGGACTTCAAATATGGCACGTCAAGGGAACTGTACAGATGGGTTAAATGGAATAGTATCTGGACACTGACTGTAGTTCTATAATCTCTCAAATAGCCTAATATGATGTAGCGAATGGAGGGAGCGGGAAGCGGGTCTCCGGCGTGAAAGGCAAATACCCTACACATGCTGCCAATAGGGTTAACCCACTTGGTGGGAATTGTAACATGGGAATTGAATGAGGAATAGCAAGGATCGCTACACTGCCCCCTCTGAACAGTAAGGCACAGCCCTGCACTTCAACTTTTTTTCAAGCCCCTTCACAGGTCCACCCGTGCATTCCAAATTGCCTCATGGTGCCATCCCACTTCTGACACCAATGTAGTGAACAGAGGGAGGGGAAAGCGAACACGGGTCTCCGGCGTGAAAGGCAAACACCTACACATCACGCCAATAGGGTTAACCCACTTGGTGGGAAATGTAACGAGGTTAATGTAGGATCGCTACAATAATATTAACTCCTGCAGAATCAAGCAGTTCTTGCAGTAAAATGATACACCAAATGTACATTTTGACTCGGGAACAGGAGTGGAGAAATATTATTCATTTCTTTCAGCATCTTGAGAGAATGAATGTGCGGTTAGGAACCGTCTGTAAAGGTGCTATCTTTATCAGCATCATAAAATCTGAAAGTATTTCAACCACAAATTATGCATCCAAGCCAAACTTAAATCATATCAGAAACTTGTTCGGTCATTTTCACAGCTTTTAATTCCCTTAACCAGTCAAACTGATGTCATTTGGAAATGTCTTCAAGGACAACAAGTAATGACAGAAGAGAAGTTGGATGTATCTAATTATAGACAAGTTGACTCACAAATAGCCTACCAAAATGTCAGAAATTATAAGCAGAAAGATAGGCCTATCTAAATCTAAACCCTAGTCAAAAAATCTTTCCGGCATCTCTGACTACAGCGCATTTTCTATATTTGCGGGTTATGGTCGGGCCTCAGATTTTCACTTTATCACATAGTCGTGCGGTTGTGGATGTGTTATTAGCAATTGCGGGCAGGTGCGGGGAACAAACAGCTGACCCGTGCATCACTAATGAGTGTGTGTGTGTGTGTGTCTTACCCTCGGGGTGGTGCAGCTCTTGGCCAGGTGTCCAGCCTTGTTACAGTTGTGGAAGGTGAGACTCTGGTCAGAGGTGAAGTAGCGGTACAGGCGTGGCAGAAACAAGATAAAGAAAAACTATAATCTGAGCCCTGAGGGCTTCATGCAGACTGAAACTGATCTAAACTCTAGAGTAGTGATAACTAATGATAATAGCACCTTATCCTTCTCTATTAGGGCCCAGTTGTGTTTGGTAGCTAATGTTGCATTCAGTTCTTCAGAGACATCCAGCTCAACTCAGAGTCTGACTCTGGACCAGAGAGTGAGGACCAGACAGTTCAACATTTGACAGAGTTCCAGAGACAGAGCAGAGTCCCGCGGACAGAGCAGAGTCCCGCGGACAGAGCAGAGTCCCGCGGACAGCGCAGAGTCCCGCGGACAGCGCAGAGTCCCGCGGACAGCGCAGAGTCCCGCGGACAGCGCAGAGTCCCGCGGACAGCGCAGAGTCCCACGGACAGCGCAGAGTCCCGCAAACAGATAATGCCATAGTGGCCTGGGGAGCTCTTTGTGAGCTGGTGAAGTGTGACTGTTTGTATTGACTAAACCCCAACTCATCTTCTGAGCTGTTGGAGGCCTCGATTTATAATCTGTTGTCTTTACTAGCACACTCTTCCTCATCGTTCTGGTGGCCCATCATCATCACACCGATGGCGGGGGTGACAGATCTACCTGTTCAAAACACAACACCACCCACATTCAGCTGAATTTGTCCAATTAGTACGGTTCTTTACACCAACCTCCTCATTAGTATCAACGTAGCTAACGACCTACACCTGTGTAAATAATAGCTTTGTGTTGCGCCTAGCCTGTACAGCCGCTAGTGGGTGCTATTTACCTGTTTACCTGTCTCCACTACAGTCTGTACTTAATGTGCAGTAATACACTTGTGTCCCCCGGCGACCGGTTCGTACATAAAACAAACTCCATTCAGGCTACAAAGCTGTTGGTTTCCACCTTAAAGCTGCAGTATGGAACTTTTTGGGCAACCTGACCAAATTCGCATAGAAATGTGAGTTATAGATCTGTCATTGTCATTGAAAGCAAGTCTAAGAAGCGGTATATCTGTTGTTCTATGTGCCTATTTCTATGCTTCCTGTTCTTAAGTTTTGTTTTTGCTTCTTTTACTTTCGGTTTTGAAAAAACAATATTTTTGGTTATTTAAAATATATTTCACAGCGGTTTAGATGGTACAATTACTCTCTACATTGCTTGTTTTGTCACATAAACTAAAATTAGGTGAACTTTTTGAATTTTTGCAACCAGGAAATGACGGTGCGATTTCTGCATATTGCACCTTTAACTCAATTTAATGTCCTGCTGGGCAAAAAAAAAAACTGGGAGAATATACCTACTGTCTTAATAAAACACAATTTTCCACCCCTATGCTAGTGGCTAATGTTACTCCCGGATGTTGCACACCACGTTTAGCCAATCAGGTTGCAGCAGTCTTTTTGTCACCCCTGGTCTGATAGTTGTAAGTCGCTCTGGATAAGAGCGTCTGCTAAATGACGTAAATGTACATGTAAAAGTGGCGCTTAATGAACCAGAAGTTTTTAATGGCATGTATTGGATTTCTTGGCATGAACTAGTTTACAGAACATTATTCACATTTTGAATAAGATGAAACATTTATGAAGTGAAATTATAAAGTTAAAATGAGATTTAGAGAGATGTATTTTCACCCCAGATGCAATATGCAATTAATGTAATGATTGTATTGTTTACAGGTTTATTCAATGACATATTTATAAACTTGTGCAATCTGAAAAGTATAATTAATAGTCAATAAATAATGAATATCAATTTTAAAAATGTCTAATTAACATCTTGCCTGATGACTCAAACTGAATTCTTCCGTTGCTCTATCATTCGCTACATACTTCAGTCTGAGACGGCCATCATTGAAGTCATTTATGGTGACGTCAAAATGAGGGGTGTTGTACAAAACAAAGTCATCAGTGATTTGATTATTTCTAACCAATCAGAGTATCAAACCCAATGACGAATTTTCAAAATGCTGCTTTACCCACGTGTGTTCTGGCTCTGGCCCAACCCATCGGTTTCTGGGACCAATTAGACCGGTTAGAATGTGTTTGCGTTCTAGAAATCGCCGGGGAGGTACTCAGATCCAGACTCATATCCTCTGTTTTATCCCACTACCCAGGGGCACAGACCATCCAACTGACTGGCATTGCCTTCTACCTGGATTCAGCCCACCGTCTCCAGTTATTTATTCAGTGGAACATGTGGCCCTGATTCAGTGGAACATGTGGCCTGTCTTCTTTTCTTTAAAATGTCTCACCAAACCTGCTCTAAGCCTTCTTATCCATGATATGGCACTACTAGTTGTGTGTAT